CAGGAGGAACCAGAACTTCCAGATAACAAAGAGAACCAGGAAGAACCTGGACCTCCACAGATTAAAAAGGAGCAGGAGGAACTCTGTATCAGCCAGGATGAGGAGCAGTTGGTTCTGAAGCTGGAGGCTGAGACCTTCAGCGGGACTCCTGCTAATGAGCAAAGATACCACAGGGAACCAGAACCACAATCAGACCCCCTCCTTTGTCTGAACGGTCCTGAAGCTGAGGAACAGGATCAAACGGGAAACGGGACCAGATCCAGCAGAGATGAGGAGCTGAAACCAAAGAAGAGAAGTCCAGACACCAGAGATCCCAGAGATGATGTGGACCATCCAAAACTAAAGAGACGGAAGAACATGTCAGAACATGTCAGAACTCACACAGGTGAGAAGTCCTTCCCGTGTCTCACCTGTGGAAGAAGTTTCGGACATAGAAGTACTTTAAATTACCACCTGAAAACTCACACAGGTGTGAGGCCCTTCTCGTGTCTCACCTGTGAAATGACTTTCAGACATAGAGGTACTTTGAATTATCACATGAGAACTCACACAGGTGAGAAGTCCTTCTCATGTCAGACCTGTGGAAAGAGTTTCACTCGTAAACATACTTTGACCCATCACATGAACATTCACACAGGTGAGAGACCCTTCTCGTGTCTCACATGTGGAAAGAGTTTCATTCGTAAAAGTACTTTGACCCATCACATGAACACTCACACAGGTGAGAGACCCTTCTTGTGTCTCACCTGTGGAAAGAGTTTCATTTGTAAAAGTTCTTTGACCCATCACATGAAGATTCACACAGGTGAGAAGTCCTTCTCTTGTTAGAACTGTGGAAAAGGTTTTAATATAAAGTATGTTTGGATGAGACACCTGAGGATTCACAGGTGAGCTGAAACTCGGTTAATGTGGTTAAAGTTGGTCTGAGCCCGTTTCACCAGCTGCGCAACATCTAAGTCTCAGTTTTATTGACACTGAGCTTTAATTGTTCTGGTAGCAGCTGAGAGTCATCCCCAACATCAAGTGTGAGGGCTAACAGATCTTCCATCCATCCGTCTGTTATTTATTTAAATATTTAAATGATTACAGATAATAAAAATGTTGCCATTGTTGAAATAGAAAAAAACTGTAATCATAAATTAATTTGAAAAGACTGTTTTTAAAGGTTCTTTGTGATATTTTCTGGGCTCCTCTGTAATGTGTGTGTGTGTGTGTGTGTGTGTGGGGGGGGGGGGGTCCCGTGTCTGAACTTGGATTTTTTGGGTCAAAATGTAAAAATCATGAGCCTCTGAATTCCAGACATCCATCCGTCATCTTTATCCTCTTCTTCCTTTGAGTCACTGTGCGGCGTCTCAGTTCATCTTATACTTATAACTGAAACAATCTGGATTTCCCTTTAAGGCTGAGGCATTATGGGTAATGTAGTTTTTGAGTTTAAAGTGATTACATAACTCCAGGTCAGCAGAAATCTTATCATTTCTGTCAGTTTTCCTTCTTTCTTGTTTTCTCACGCTCTTCTATCAACCTGTTTACTGAAATGTTTTCTTTGTTTATTTTATTCATTTTTTTTAATGTAAAGTTTCGTTTGGAGTCACTACACACAAATGTTGCGAGCAATAAAAATTATCTGAATATGGAAAATAAAATATTAAAAAGTAGTACAAACAAAGAATTTGGAACAAATGAATGAGAAGTTGTTTAAAACCAGTTCTGACTGCATGTTTGGTTTATTAATGCCAAATATCATTGAAACACACAAAACACTTTTATCTTCGGAAGAATTGTTGGAACACAAACAGCTTCATGACGTTCTGTGTTGTTTGACACAAAATATGTTTATACATAATGGGTTTAAGACTCAGTGAATTAAAATATAATGTAAAAAATGAATGGGCTTGCTTTGATCTGTTCTTGAGTGGCTTTATATGAGAAATATGTACAAGATATAAGTATCTAAACACTCGTTGCTTTCATGCTTCAGTTTATTTCTACAGCGCCAAGTCCCAACAGAAGTCGTCACTGTACAAAAACATTCCCAGGCATTATAAAAGCCAATTGGTAAAAGTTATCTATGTAAGGAAGCCAGCAGATTAAATGCTGGTGATTACACCACCACACTCGTCCCACAGGCCCGTGGGCCATCAGTTGATGAACACTTTTACATTGTGTCTTATTTGTCATTGTTTACTTTCAGTTTATGCTGTGTCATGAATTTAACCTAGTTTTTATTTCTACATAGTTTTTACTGAAAGCTGAAACAAATATGACTTTTTTTTTCCCAGAAAGACAAAGTCAGCAAGATAAAAATAGCAAAACTTAAAGCGAGCTAAAAGAAGGAATATGCATTGATTTAAAACATATTCCAGTATCTTAGCCTATATGTTGAATAATTTTAAAATTCGTCATAATTTAGTGAATAACAGTCTAAGCTGATATTACACTGTTGAACTAAAGTTAGTTTTTATTTTTATGTTTCGCTTTTTATTGAAACGAAAACAAGTCTGTCTGTTTCTACCCGAGCTAAACAGTGAGACACCACCGGAAGTAAACATGGCGCTGGCAGCGTTAGCATAGTTAGCTTTCCCTGTGTTTGCGGAGGTTTTCATGATTTATTTAAACTTGTGTTATAATCATTAGAGTTAAACTGACTCTGATAGTTAAATTGATCAACTGATTATGTTTTATTGAATAAATATAACTCACCGGGATCATAACATGTTTCAGTTTTAGTCGGAGCTTCACAGTGTGACACCAGCGGAACTAAAGGAGCTCACGGCGTTAGCATCGTTAGCTCTGTGTTTGTTTATGTGTGAGAGGTGAATGTGTTGAGTGTGTGCAGCAACAATGTCTTCAG